GGCTTCTCAGAATGGCTCTGCTCCTTTTCCTAGGGGAGAATTCCCTCTGGAGTCTGGGGGCTGCAAAGTGTCAAACTCCATGCCCAGAGTCCCCAACTGGGTGCCTCTCGGGCTGGCAGGTGTATGGGGTGGGGGTGAGGGCCCGCCAGGGCCTTGCCTCCGCCTTCTGACTGGGACTTCCAGCAGCGGGTGGGTGCTTCGGGGGGATTGCTCTCCAAGCCGGTGCAATGGGCTAAAGCTTCCTCAGCATTGCACTTCACAGGACGTCCGGCCCCCAGCTCCAGAGAGGCGAGGAGATGCGGAGGGGTGACCCCCAGAGCAAGGTTGGTGCTTGCTGGCTTCTGACCTCATTCCAAGGTGAGGGTGATGACAGTGGGAGTGGTTGGTTGTAAGCTGCTGTGGGCGTTGGCGCGGCCTCATGGTGACCTTAGGCTGCCCACTTTGGATACGTACCCTGAGTTTTGATACGTACGTCTGAGCCCATGACTGGCGGTTCTGTCGGTCCGTCCATCCGTTGCCTGCCGGGTTGTCCCCCTCTTTCGCTGCGTTCCCAAACACGTGCTCCTGTTCCAGCAATCAGTCTTCCTGAGCACCTGGCCAAAGCCAGCGAGCCAGCGTCTCCGCCCTCCTTGCTTCTAAGGAGCATTCTGGTCGGATTTCTTCCAGGGCTCTCCTGACATCCTGTGGGATAGTTCATATCCTTCGACAACATCATGGTTCACATGCCGCCATTCCTTTGCCGACCTTCCCCACCGTGCATCTCCTCCCCTGTGAACGAGGACATGGAGAAGACTCTGGTTTGGTCAGCCGTGAGATCCTGGCCTCTTGACCCGGCCATTGCTTCAGCAGGCACAGCCTTAGCTTCTATAGACTTGTCTTCTACGCACAGTCTGAGTGCAGAGGCAGGGGCGTCTTGAATGGGGGAAGTGCAGCAGTGGTCTGACCCAGGATGCTTCTGTCAGCCAACGTACTAACGAGGGGAGACCTACGTTTTCTCTTGTTGTTGTTTTATATCACCTGTGGGTCTGTATAACCCTGGCTGCGCATCGGTAACACCTGGGCCTGGCTCCAGACCAATTTCCTTGGCGTCTCCGGGGAGGAGGGATCTGGCCTCA